GCGCGCCCTGACAAGTTCACGTGGACAGACACTCGCCGACGTCACGCTGACCTGGTTTTCTATTCGGGTCCGCGCGCGGGGGGCGCAGGCGAACGAGCGCCGCCCGGGGCGCCGCGGGGCGGGCGATTTCTGTCGGCGCGGTCGCGGGCCCCACCGGCGCCGAAATCGCGGGCCCCGTAGAAGCCAGTCGTCGTCGCTCCGCCCACAGGGCGAAGTTCGCGGGGGCGGAGGGGGGGGGGCGCTGCAGGCGCGCGAGCAGCGGCGACCGGTCCTCCCGCGGCCGCCGAACGGCGCGCCGCGGCGCCCCGGGCCTGATGTGATCGACCAAATTTCACGCGAGCCCAGAGGTGCTCGCCCTAGGGCCCGACGGCGCCGCGCGCGGCAGCATTCGGGGCGCCGGCGCGTTATATCAAGTTTGTGTCGGGCCCGTCTTGGCGGAGGCTCGAGGGGCAACTTGGCCGACCGCGCATGCGGGGCGCGTTTGGCCGGGGGCGGGGCCCCCGAGGACATGCTCGCCAAAGCCCCTCAGGTCGCCCGCCCGCTTGCCCTTGCTCGCGGCGATAGTAAGCTGGTCTCCAAGGCTCTCGACCAGACCTTGCCCTTCGTTGCCCAAGTAGGTTGCGACCCAATCCAGGGGGCATTCTTCCCACGGGGCAAATGAATAATGATCCGACCCAGTTCGAGGGGCGCGCGCTCTCGCGGCTGGCGCAGCACTCCCGTTCCAGAGCTGGATTTCCGTCCAGCTCTGAAGCCGCGCCCCCGCCGCTGCCGCTCCGGCTTATCTTTTGCGCAGTATTCGAGACCAATGTTTATCGGCAAATCTCCGAGGCCATCCAGCTACTAGACACTGGCTTTCAGACTCAGGTCGGGGGCGTTCGGGGCAGCTTTCGCCGGGTCCTCGCGGGAAAGACACGCCGGGGAGTGGGTTGCTCAGAGATGCCGGCGCTGCTGCAGCTGTCGCGGACGACCGTGGACATGGCGCGGCCGACGCGGTCGAAGCTCTGACGGCAAGTCTACCCGTCTTCCGACTTGCGGCGCGCGTTGGCGGGCTTGCCATCAACCTGCCAACGCGCGCGGTCGTCGCCTTGAGAGGCTTCTTGAGTTTGACGCGCACCTCCAGCAACGCGGCGTCGCGCCCCCAGATGTTGATTGCGCGCGGGGAGGGTGGCATGTATCTTAGAACGTGGGCGGCGAAGGACTCGGGCATTAGAAGTTGGGCTGGACCTGCGCGCAAAGCCCCGAGTTGTTCTCGAGGATGCAAGGCGCCGAAGCTGGGCTCGTTTAAAACCATCGCGCGCTACGCTATTTACTCGTCATCGCGCTTGCGCCCTCGAGCACAAGTCTTCTTTCCGCCCAAGTATGCTCTCAAGCCGAAAACCGAGCCCTCCAGCACGTAACGGATGACCCGCGGGATGCCCTATCCAGGGAGCTTCGGCGCGATGTTCGAACGCTGGAATCGGCGCCCGTGCCCGGCATTCCCTGCGCGGCGAGAGCCGCCGCGCTGCGAAGTGCCCCCCTGCGCCCCCGCCACCGGCATTTTAAATTGATTTTGTCCGGCGGACCCGCCGCCATCTCATCGGCCTTTCCGCGTTGGTTTCTCACGTGAGTTCGGGGGCGCCGGCGCTCGAGCGCCCGCGCGCGCTCGCGCGCTTGCGAGCGCCCCAGGGGGCGCCCGAGAGCGCGCGCGAGGGCCTGGCAACGCCCGCGCGATTGCGAGCGCTTGCGAGTGCTGGGTGGGGAAGGGGCGCTCGGGAGCGCGTTGCGAACGCTTGGGGGCGCAGGGGCGCGCGGGCGCGCCTGCGCCCGGGGCGCCCGCGAATGCCAGCCGGGGGCGCCTAAGAGCGCGGGCGAGCGCGCAGCGCCTGGGGGCGCCAGGAGGCGCCAGGGGGCGCTTGCGCGCTCGGGCGCGCGCGCGCTCGGGCGCGCTTGCTAGCGTGGCGGGGGGGGGGGGGGGGGGGCGCTTGCCCGCCATGGCGAATCGATTGTTTCGCAGAACGTCCGCCGTCGGATGTTGATTGGGAGCTTGAACTGATTGGCGCGAGCTTCTCTGTTCCGCCGATTTTTCTGCAATGTCAGCTCTCATGTTTCTGTTTTGTTTTGTTTCCTGCCTGTTTGTTTCGGAACATGGTGCGCTTTCTTTTGCTTCCGGCGTGGTCGAGGAGGGGCGTGGTTTGATTGGCGTGGCGGGCGGCTCGAATGGCCGCGTGATCTCGTGGGAGTGGATCCCGCGGCATAAGCGAACCATGTCCGACCATATGCGCGAGAGTTTGCACTTCGCCCAACCTATTCCCGACGCCCGTGGAATTGGAGCCCCCAAGCTGCACGACAAGATAAAATTCTCGAGGGCAAATGTATTCACGATGCGTGGGAGGCGCTGCTCAACCGAGCTCTACAAGTTTCACTGCGATGCCCCGCCCACCCAGAGGGTTAGCTGCAATAGAATTTCCCGGAGGCTTGAGAGACTGGCCCCCCTGTACCTTTTCGTGCGTGTGTGTTCATAAGACCTGTTTGTAATGTTTGGTGCACTTCTGCACGCTTCTCCCAGGCTCGTAAGAACTGCACGTTTTGTACGATAGCTCTTGGGGCGACCATGTCGTTCGCTACCTCTCCTGTCCGGCCTCTTTGCCTCTTCTTCCCCTGCTGCTCGCCTCCCTGCTTCCTTTTTGCGTGCCTCTGGCTCCTCTGGTGTTGCTCGTTTGCTTTGTCTTCCGCGTTCTAAAGCCCAGCTCGCAACCTTTGTTGCTTATAGTTGTCAGATGTTCAGCATGTATCACACATACCGACACGAGGGAAGCCTCACAGGAGGACAGATCGCCAAATCCGGCGTGACCAGGATCGCGCGGCTCATTCGCCGCCGCCCACGTTTCGCCGCTCTGCTGAGGGATCGATGATGCGCGGACAACACGCACGCCCTGCAGCGACGGGACTTCACGCAGCTCCAGAACCAGCAGATGTCCATCGAGATGATCCAAGCTCTGATGCCCGTCGTGACGCGGGCGACCCTCAGGAACACGCAGTGTTCATGATGATGCTCATTCAGGCGGACCACGCAGTCAGCCAGGCCATCCAGTTGACAGGGAAATGTTTCGTACAAGAGGCCACACGCCTGCGGTGAGATCACAGAGACGATATCAGAGCAGGCAACCCACTGGAGGCACTGGAGATGCTGGGGGTCCCGCCCCCCCACCTGTGGCTCGCGCTAGTGGGTGCCCTCCAGCAGCAAGGAGATCGAGCGGGAGCTCAAAATGCAGCGGCCATCAAGGCCTACTTGGATCGGGTCCATGGAGATCCGCTGCTCACGAACTCCACGCTAGCCCATCAGGTCAAGTACTGCCGAGTGTCCAACACGCACGACAGGAGCTCGATGAAAATCTTCATCGAAGCCAAAGAGACGGGGATCCAAGCGGAGGCGCTGGCCGCGCTGGTGCAGCTGGGAGAGAAAAGATCATGAAAGGGACCCCGCCGAAGACCCACCAAGAGAGGCTCTTGTAACTCGCGCTGGACGGCTTAAAGGCGTAAGCGATTCCAACAGGGTGAGGCAAGCGACGCCGTCCCGTGCTGGCAAGGCTCCGTCCTTCCCCTCTCCTCCTCCTCCTCCTCTCCCTTCCTCGTCGTCTGAGGCTTCGTCTCGTCGTCCCCGCTTGGCCTCCTCCTCGTCTATAGATGCAGCGATTTACCGGTTCATCCAAGGGGCCCAGAGTGCCGACAGTAATGATATCGCGGGTCGTCGCCCAGGGAACGCGCAATTTTAGTGGTTTCGTTGTTCAGGACAGAATCGCTGCTTTTTTTACAAAAAGAAACAAACAAACAAAAAAGAGTTTGTTGGCTCGCCTACGGTTCAACAGAGTTGCCGCCCTCCTTTTTGTCAGGACCAGGGGGTGCGGGCTCGGCCCAGGGATATCTCCGCGCTGGGCTCGCGAGGCGCACTGGGGCCCCCCCCCGCCGTGCGATTGCACCGCTGCAGATACCGCAGTCGTGGTCCTTGTGTTGCGCCGCTGCTCTCTCTCTCTCTCTCTCTCTCCCTCTCTCTCTCTCTCCCTCCCTCTCTCTCTCTCGAGCTTCACACTTGCAGACGCGTGGATCAGCCGCGCACCGCCGCAGCCGCTTCGTTCCCTTCTACCCGGATCACGTGCAATTACTCTCCTCCTCTTCCTCCTCCTCCTCCTCCTCCTCCTCTTCCTCCTCCTCCTCCTCCTCCTCTTAAGCCTCCTCCTCCTCCTCCTCTTCCTCCTCTTCCTCCTCCTACTCCTATTCCTTCTCCTCTTCCTCCTCCTCCTCCTCCTCCTTTTCCTCCTCCTCCTCCTCCTCCTCCTCCTCCTCCTCGCCTCCTCTTCCTCCTCATCCTCTTCCCTCCATCCTCGGGCGGCGGGGAAAGCGGACGCCAGCCTGACACCCCCTTCTGCGCTGTCGTAGCCGCGCAGTAGCCCTCTCCTCCCTTTCCCCCCCGCTTCTCGAAGATCCCAGAGGCCTTGTCGGACCTCTTGTGGGGGCCGCCACAAGCCATGGGCTTCCAGAGGCCTTTGGAGGCTTAGCTTCTTTCCGACGGGACGAAACTTACGCCGATCCCCAGTGGCGTTTGCCGAACATCCCTCGAACATTTATCGAGCAATCCTGCCGTGATCGGTTTCTTCATGTCGGGTGCGTTATCTAACCGGCTCCGCTTGTTTTTCTCAGGTGTTGATTTTGAGGGCGGTTCTTTTGCCAGGAAGTTGGATGCACATGATGTGGCCTGGTTTGGCGACAGCTGGGCACACGTGTGGCCAGATGTCACTCGAACGCTCGGCCCTCATGGCCGTACAGGCCGGGCCCCCGCATGCGTATCCAGCGCGTGGCTTGTGGAGGTCCCACGTGTGGGTCCAGCAGTGCACGCTTCCAGCTTCATGGTGCGCAGTTCTGCCCTGCTCGATCGCCCCCCCGCGGGCGAGTTCTCTGGAGCGGCTCCGCTCATCAAGAGTGGGCCGGTCCTGCCCCGACGATCGACGACGGCGACGGCCTGCCAGGAGCGCGCCGTAGACGCGGCGGAAGAGCTGCTGGCTGGCGCTCAGCGGCAGGTGCGGCTCCGGGAGACCCGGCTTGCGGCCCTGCAGGAGGCGCATGCGCGTGTCTCCCGGGGTCGAGGGGCTATGCTTTCATGGGGGGAGAAACGCAGGACGAGGGCGGAGGAGAGGAGGAGGAGGAGGAGGAGGAGGAGGAAGAAAAGGAGGAGGAGGAGGAGGAGGAGGAGGAGGAGGAGGAACAGCAGGAGGAGGAACAGCAGGAGGAGGAGGAGGAGGAGGAGGAAGAGAAGTCACGGACATCAGCGAGGAAGAGCGTTACCCTGGTTGCCACAAAACGGATTGCGCCAAGAAGCAGCAGAACGCCACACCCACAGCTGCGTGCGGCGAGGTCCGCGCAGGCCTGCTGCACACCCGGCGCGAGGCGACGAGGAGGACGCCGCCGAGAAAGCAGGAGGCCCACGCCTGGCCTGGCCTACGTTGACCCACCCCGCTTCTTGGTCCAGCAAGGGACTCTTCTCGCAGGCGATTTCTCTCCCCCAATCCCCGACTTCCGCCAGAAAAGTTTGGTCGCTCAGAAAAGGGGAGGAATCTTGGGATACATCCCGAGGGGGCTATTCGGACGCACCCCTGTCGAGGATGGACGCCCCCCCCTCGTATATCCCAGGGTTGGGCCCCAAATTGTTGATCCTCTCGAAAACCTCACGGAGCCTGGGATAGGGGTCGACGCATCCCCTGTTATCTTCTCCGAAACGGTGGCCCGGCCCCCCCCCCCGTGATCTCTCAGAACATCACCACCCACCAAACCACCCCAACCCAACCCGAAGGCTCAGATTTACCCTCGATTTCCAGTGGGGGGGGGAAGTCGGGGAACATCGAGAAAACACATATGGAACCCGCACCCCCCCCCAACCCGAAATTGGGGTCTTCGGGTTGGGTTGGGGTGGTCTGGTAGGTAGTCAGCTTCTTGGTCCAGCAGCGGACTCTTCTCCGAAACGGTGGCCCGACCCCCCCCCCCCTCCCGTGATCTCTCAGAACAGAGGCAGACGAGGCGAACACCACCCTCGTGCCAAGACGGGATTTGCCTTGGGCCGGGCCTGTCCCGCTGCAGGAGGGAAATTGAGACGATTTTTTGAGTATTTGTTGATCCTTCTGGGGTATTTGGGAGGTATCTTTTCTTTTTCGTCCAAAATCCGCGTGTAGGGAGACATGCCCGACCTAAGATTTGCCTCTCGGAGGCACGTCGGTGCGTCATTCCTCACACCTTGTTTACCAATTTCGTTCCAACGGCAGCAGTGTAGCGAGCTCTCCTACGACGAAGATGAACACCGCCAGCTGCTCCTTTCCCATCTCCGACCGTGGCACTGCTCTTCACGCTGCCGCTTTTCCCGTCTTCACAGCAGCAACAGCAGCTGGGCATCCATCAAAGTATGATCCTCCACATCTCAGCAACGGCACTCCCATCTCCACTAGCATACACACCACGTCTCCCACACAGCTTGCATATGCACCCACGGCGGCTACGTCTACAACAGACTATGATATGCACTGGGTCCACGGTCAGACAAGGCTCCCAAACCCGTCGTGTTGTTTTCACCCACGTTTGCTTCTCAGCCGACGCACCGCGAGAGCACAAGCCACACCCGACCAGTGGATAGAGCTCTCTCATGCGCCTCATTAGTGGAGGCCTTAATACAACGGGTGCCAGCTGGGGCCTCGGAGGTAGCAGCGCGATCCCCACCCGCCGCCCCCGCCCCCCCTCACCTTTCACCCACCTAATCCACTCCTTCCAACTCGTGTGGTGGCGGAAAGGGTAGGAAGGATTTATGGGGCGACGAGGGGACAAGTCACCGCCGGCTACCCTGGCGAAGGCGCTGGGTGGCCGCGGCCGCCCCGCCGCCAACCAGCAACCATCATAACTGCCATCACATGCAGCAGATGCACTGCTGCCGCCGCCCACACTGGAGAACGGACAGGCCGCGGCCTGCAGGGCCCACAGGCAGCCACACAGCATGCACTGCACACACTGCACACCCTCCTTTCCCCAGGCTCGCGCTACCTACCAGTTCTCACGCGTCGGCCAACAATATGGGGATGGTGGTAATACAGTGCCGTTTTGAATACGTGCTCCGCGTGCGGATCATGTATTAAAAATGCAGGGATTCAGTACTAAGAACAACGATGAGTTCATGCGTAAGTTTATTCATAAATTCACCATGTACTAAAAATCTTATATGCTTGAAAATCCCATGCATTAAAAACTGCCCTGTATGGGGATGGCGGCAACAGGGAAGGCGCAAGCCTTCCCCACGCCCGGCGGGCCCCACACAGGCGGCCCACCAGTCCTTCTCTCGGGAACCCTGCGCCTGCCTGCAGATAAGGATCCCCGTCGCGGGCAGGGAGGAGGAGGAGGAGGAGGAGGAGGAGGAGGAGGAGGAGGAGGAGATGGACGCCTATGAGGGGTCCTGGAGGGCAGGGTGCGAGGGCGATGCGCCCCTCCACCTCGGCGAGTGTAGCCAGGCCGCCGCGCAGCCCCGTGGCTCCGCTCCAGCCGCGCAGCCGCCGCACGCTGCCAGCCCCACCCCCCTCCCCTCCCTCGTGCCACCTTCGTTCCCCGTCCCACGCTCACGCACACAGCCAGCCACAGTGCGTTTCGTACACCACCCTCTTCTGCCCAGGCCCACACCGAGGCCAACGCTCCCGCGACGGCCACCATCTGGGGGGGGCGGTTTCCCGGTGTCATCGGCGGCGAGACAGACCACTTGCGCCACGCCTCCTTCGCATCGGTGGCCGCCGCCGCGGAAGGCGCACCCCCCACCCCCCAACGCCTGGTGGAGCCCGCGCAGGCGGCCACTGGTCCTTCGTCAGGAACCCTTCGCCCGCTTGCAGTCGAGGGCTCTGTGGGCCCCGGAAACGGCAGGGTCGTTTTTTCACCGTTTCCAAAAAAATGTCCCTTGAAAATGGAAACGGCAAAAAAACGGCGACCGGAAACGGCAAAAAACGGCTCCAGGATTGGAACCAGAGCCAGAACCGGTCAAACAACAGCGACGTAACCGGTAACAAAAACGGCGTCGGAACCGGCATAAGAAACGCAAAACGGAACCAGTAAACAAACGGCCTTGTCGTTTCCAGGGCCAACTAAGGTAGAGGGCCCCCGTGGTACCGTGGATGTAAAGAATTAACGCGAAACCCATCCGTAACATTGAATTCCGCCATTCAAAGATATGGAACGCAAGCTAGGCATGAACGGCCCCAGGTTGAAAAAAATGCTTCCGTGTTTCGCGTTTATTGTTTACATTTTCGCGGGCAGCTGGCGATCTTGCCCTACCTGGAACTCGCGGCGGCCTTTGAATGGCGAAATCCAACGTTATGAATAAGTTTCGCGTTAATTGTTTACATCCACGGTAGGACGGATGGGCGTCTGGCGGGAGTCCCGAGGGCAGGGGGAGAGGCCTCTATGCCTGCCACCCTGGCGCGTGCGGCCACGTCGCCGCACTGCCTCCTGGCGGCCGCCGCGCGCCGTCGGCCCCCCCCCCACCACCTCCCCTCCCTCCTCTTCGTGGTTTTGCACACCTCCTCTCAGAGCCCCGAATCATTAGGGGTAACTCGGGTCAGGGATAACTCGGGTTCGTTTTTCGGGAGTCCGAACCCGAGTTATCCTGGACCCGAGTTACCCCGGATATTTCGGGCATCCAGAGCCCCGAATCATCAGGGGTAATTCGGGTCAGGGATAATTCGGGTTCGTTTTTCGGGAACCCAAACCCGAGTTACCCCGGACCCGAGTTACCCCGGATAACTCGGGCGCCCAATCCTCCTCTCCCCCTCTCTCTCTTCCTTCGTCTGCGGATCTCTCTGACTTCACCTTGCTATGTACCCGCTGGCGACTGCAGGTGCGACCGCCCTTGGAGTGTCTTGGCTCACCGGGAGGCTCACCAGCTTGATCACCCCCCCGCGGGCCGACTGGCCCCGGGGAGGGGGGGGGATGGCCGCGTTGGCACGATCCCAGGGCCGAGAGAGAAAGCTAGAGGGAGAGACAAGAGGAGGAGGAGAATGAGGAGGAGGAGAATGAGGAGGAGGAGGAGGAGGAGGAGGAGGAGGAGGAGGAGAGGAGAGGAGAGGAGGAAGAGGAGCAGGAGGAGGAGAAGGAGGAAGATGAGGAGGAAAAGGAGAGGACGGAGGAGGAGCCGCGATCGCCCGAGCAACCCCGAGGCACAGGCCCTGAGGTTTGTGGCGGTGGCCAGCGCGCTCGCCCGCAAGACCGCGGCGGCCGCGATAAGACAGCTACGTTCGTTCACCACCTGAGCGGTTGTTTTTCGCTGGCCTGCGAGGCCAAATGTACACGTTGTTCATTTCTCACTCTTCGAGGGTTCCTGGATCTTGCGGGGGGCCAAGATCCTTTCACGTCTCATGGTTCTATCCTGGGACTCCTTCCTGGCCGCTAGGGGGCCAGGAACAACTAGAAACGAGCACACTTAGAAATGGGCACGATTGGAAATGAGCGGCGTCTGCGTTCATGCACCACCTGCACGGTTGTTTGCGCTGGCCTGCGAGGCCAAACGTGCGCGTACAACGGCATCCAGGGCCGACCGGCCCCTCGGCCCTCGGCCCCGCCCGGCGCAGGAAGCTGCGGAGGGCGCGTGCCGACGCACGAGCGGCACGTCGCGCTGCTACAAGCCGGTCGTTGAAAGTAGGTGTGTTCGGATGCCCAAATCCTAATCTACTTTAGGCGCCTTCCTGCTTCAAGAGTCGAGCGGTTTTCCTTCTTTCCTCCTCTTCAGGGGGCGGGTGCAAGCCCAATCTACTTCCAACGCCTTACTACTTCATGTTTTTACCTAACTTCTTCCGACCGGCATATAACGCGGGGGCGTTGTTCAACAACCACCACAGCGCACAACAGCCAATCCGACTGCCACTTGGCGCCGCAGGCATCGCCACAGCACCAACCAGTCTGGCGAACTCGACGTGAAGCATCTCCGAGGCCAGCGGCACGACCCAGGTCGCAGCTTGCGGTCATCGGCGCAGGACTGGGCCGGTGGCAGAATGACAACCCGTAGTGGAAATGGAGGAGGGCAAGAATTTCTTGTCAGCCAGCGTAG